TTATTATTTTTCTTTTTTTCCTTTTTTCTTTATCTTTTATACATTTAAAAGAAGGTAATACACACGGGCCTTAGCCAAGTGTGGGAGAGGTTGTGCTGGGTGAAGATATTGTTGAGGAGGTTAAGAATTTAAATATTATTATTATTTCTGTATCTTTACTCATCACAGAACAAAACGACTGGAGCGTTAACAATAGCAACTGTATAAAATTGTCCTATAGCCGACGGCTTAATGCAAAGTCTGTAGCATTTATGCATGTATGTATATATAGCAAATATTCATCCTGACTGAACCGGGATTATCTCAGAGCTCCTCATAACGTTCCCGTTTGTATTTTCGTACGACACTTGATAGAACCTTTGTTCACGAAACCTTGAATATATTAGAAAGGACTTGAAAATTTAATATAGAATAGTTTGGAAGTTTTGGACCGTTGCAATGATCTAATCTTTAGCCGTAACTGGCTGTGCCTGCGGTATCATCTGCATGAAATTTATAGCCTTTGTTTTATTCTTACGTATAAGCTAAGTTTCATTAAAATCTAGTCAGTAGTTTTTCCGTGTAAGGTTAACAAACATCCATCCACACTGACGAACTAGTGGTCCGCTTTGATTTCTCACGGTTTTTCACAATCTTCTGGTGTTAGTTTTCGGTGGTCTACCGGTGTAGCACCCCGTTTTAATTCAATAGTCGCGGGTTCGATTGCACCTCACGCGGTGCAAACATTTATATTCATGAGTATGATTGTTTGTATTGGTCTAGTTGTGTTCTATTTCTGTATCTGTCTATTCTTCTTCTTCTTCTTTCGTTTTAATGTCGACTAAATCTGTCTATTGAAAATCAGTTGTCTAGTACTAATAACATAAAATACTATAACATGGGGTTTTTCAAGAAGGGTATTTAAAGTTCGGCCGCGCGCACGTGACCCCTGGTGTTTCAGGCGTCCATAGGCTACGGTAACCGTTTATCATCAGATGGGCCTTATGCTTGATTACTGACGTAAACAAAATATGCTCTGGGTAGCTTGGGACTGGTTTTATTTCAATTTAAAATATGTTTTAATGAAATCACAGGTGAAATGTCCCCATTGTCACAATCTTATTTTATAACTTGCTTTTATTCGCGGTTTCGCTCGCATTGAATTAAAAATATTTATTTTTATTAGTAAAAAGTATCCTATGTTCATTCTAATACCCCCAAGAACATGTGTACAAAATGTCATAATTATCGGTTCAGTAGTTTTTGTGCGAAAGCGTAACAAACATCACTTTCACATTTATATTATTGTTAAGGTTATTATTTATAACAGTTACTTACCCTGGTGGGTTCAAATGTAAAAAGAAACCAACCTCCTGAGGTGTGATGTTATACGAGTACATGGATGGACCCTTATATAAATTTATATAACCTTATACCTTATAGGTTATAATTATGGTTACACGATAACAACCGCAGCCTTCACGATAATAGGAGCACAGACTTGTAGCTGCGTGCCATTCATTAACATATTATGTTTATTTAAAATACATCAAATAATCTTAAATTATATTACATGGATAGGGCTGTCGATAAGTAAAGCGTAGTATTAAAATCATTACATACTATAAAATAAAGTCGCTGTCGCTGACTGTCCCTATGTACATATGCTTAAATGTCTAAAACTACGCAACGTATTTTGAAGCGGTTTTTTTTAACAGATAGAGCGATTCTAGAGGAAGGTTTATATATGTAATACATGTACATCCGTGAGAAGCCGGGGCGAGAAGCTAGTATGTAAATAAAATAAATAAATAAGCGTTTTATTTCTTTAAATAGCAAGAATATTACATGCATTTCCTAATTATTTATGCAATAATAATTTAATATTGACTGGCAATAATAATTAACATTTCATTAGGTTATTTCTTTTTTATATTTTGGTAGCCATTTAAGGAAGGAGCCTCTTCCAACCTTTTCTGACTATAGACAGAGATGTCTATAGTCAGAACCGTCCAAATGGGCCCTGCCAAGTCCATGTATTAAACGTAATACGTATATGTAAATCTTAACATCGTGTATATAAGGTCGTTATTTACTTGTGGGAGTCAGAAATTCAATCTCTTTTACTCATTTTTGTTCATAACATCTTAGCTACTTAAATTTGATATTAAGTAAATATACGTTTGACTCAACAAAATTATTAATAATTAATAAAAAAATATTTACATTTTACTTATCTATTCACGTCATTTCAGTCAACGCCGTCGTTTTAATATTTTTTATTTGAAGCACATTGTTTCTTAAATTTAAATTCGTGTTTGTTCATGGAATACAGACTTTTTGTAATAATAATAATAATAAATTTATTTGTAGATTTTGGGTATAATACATATATGATGTTGTATAAAAACGTGGCCCTTGCAAAATCTGCTTATCAAGCATACAGATCTTAAAGTTAATTAAATTATCGATTTTTTATATAATTAAAAATAGTATACGTCAATTTGTATCTATATAAATCTAAATGTCATGAGCCTACCTCATGACATTATATAATTTATTATTATACAATATATAATTTATTATTTTAGGATTCCATAAATTCTTTAAATTGCTTTCAGCAAAAGATTTTAAATGAAATTGGAAAGCAAATCGTTGTCAAAGTACAATTTTTTATTCAAATTGTTATAAACGTTTGTGAAATGATATAGAAAATCTCTCTCTATCCAACCCATGTTCCTAGTTTATCTGGGGTCGGGTCTCCTGTACATCTGCGCCAGAGAACTCTGTTCTGGGTTGTCTGTATAGTAAGGTTGTCTTGGTCCATCTGCGTCTTAATATTGTTCCGCCAAGTGGCACGTGGTCTGCTCTTGCCTCTGGTCGAGTTTGGTATCTTGAGCACTTTTTTTTACCACGTCTTCGCGTCTTTGGATATGGCCATACCATAACCGACATTCTCTCATAATAGAGAAAATATCACCTTTTGTATAAAATATTAGTTTTGAAATTATGACAAGTTTATTTTTAATTCTATACTATTAATGTTATTACTTATTTGATACATTATTTATTAGGAATAATTAGTTTTTATCGATTTTTCTATATTAGAACATACTGTGATTTGTATATAAAACTTAATTCAATGCGTGTTCAATAGGAATAACAAGTAACAAATAACAGTGTGACAGCCCTATGCATAGACAATGCATTGAGAGCATCGCGTGCTAACTAGCTCTGACACGCTCAAGAAAGCACGTACAGATAACACGTTTATAATAATTATAAGGCCGCTGCTCGGTACAGGAAAATTGTTCTGCATACGTCAATATGTCTAGTCTAGAGATTCATTGTGATTATACTACAACCACATAGCAACCTGCCCCGGAGAGACAAAAACGTAGCTAAAGCTATAGGACTAAAAATATAGCACGTTTGAGAAATCCGCTCTTCTGTCCATAATTTTATGGGGGTGGGGGTGGGTGGGGGGGGGGGGGGGGGGGGGGGGTTGTTAGTAATAGTAATATTATTTCAAGACAATTAACACAGCTCGATGTAATCCTTTGTTTTATGGGTATTGATACATGTACATTTTTTATAATGCATTCATAATATACATAGGAAATAATCAGACCGATACAAACAAAAAACTCATGAATACAAATGTTCGTGCCGTGCGAGGATCGAACCTGCGACTATCGGAAGAAAACCGAGGCCGTCTAGTAATGTGGACAGACGACCCCATTGTTAGTAATATGAAGCTAAGTTGATTAGCAGTTCTTCTGGCAACCATCGTGGGAAATTGCCATTTTCACTAACTTGACTTTATGATTTATTTATGAACTTCGACTGGTGCCCACAAACATAAACGGTTAACGTAGGCAGGTGCCCAGTTCATTATCATATATCATAAAAAAAACCCCGTCGCAGAGGTAAGGGGATTGTAGAGTACTAGTACATAAATGGTTGTCACTTATTATCAGGTGGAACGTCAGCTTGTTTACAATAGTAATTACATTAAAAACAACATAAATATAGCATTCTGGTACTAATCATAATTCATTCGTACTAGCTGACCCCTATAACTTCGTCTTAATCACACGTACTTGACATTTATAATTATATTTCGCCCAATTTACATTATATTTTTTTAAATTGTAGCCTATCTCTTACTCTGATGTGTAAGCTATATTAATGTTAATTTTCATCAAAATCTGTTCTGTAATTTTTGTGTGAAAGAGTTATTACTCTTACACTTAACATCTCATCAACTCTTAACATACAACCATCCATAGTCGCAAGCTTTCGCGATTATAATATTAGTAAGAATTTCCATGTTGCTGTCGTTATTTTTTATAACTATCCCTCCTGAAAGTTGTAATATCAACAATCTGTCTACGCTCGTTCTCTGCCAAGATATCCACTTTACTAGACAGCAATAAAACTTTACTGACAGGACGTAAAACTTAACTTGATCTGACCGTGCGGTGCCTCAAGTTATTAAGTTTTATAACACGTGTACTGATCCCAAGTAGACTTATTACTTAACTTACGGTGGTATAACACCCTGGTGCTTGAAAAAATAGTCAAAATAAACTTTTTTTTCTTATTTACTTTCGTCCATAAAATATATTTTTTTTATACTACGATGGTGGCAAACAAGCTGATGAACCCATCTGATAGTAAATGGTTACCCTATGGTAGCCTATGGACGCCTGAGACTCCAGGGTTAATATACCCTTCTTGAAAACCCCATGCCATAGCCACGCGAGAAAACCTCGGCAGGTAGTGCATTTCACAATCTAAGTGTACGCGGGAGGAAGCGCACTGTCCGAGACCACTTAGGTGACCCATAGGAGACCACTGGCGTGCGGAACTTTCAAATTATTTGTTAAAACCAGGGTTAGAATCTATTTAAGTATAAATAATAGGAGATACCACTCTTCTAGCATTGTTTGTCATGTATATTCTTATATATATACTTAGAGATAAATTTAAATGAAATGGTAATTTCATTGTTGCAGTGTATGAAAACGTATGTGGAGCTGGAAGTCTGCCAGGGGGCGTACGAGGTGTCCTGCCCCGATGGCAGGTGCAGGACAGGGGCTGCGCTGGGCCTCGACGAGATCTCAGCGCTGGTGGAGCCATCGGTCATGGAGAAACACCGCAAGTTTAGACTGAACCATGGTCAGTACCATATAACTATTTGACCTAAATACATTTAGTGTATAGTTCTATCTGTGCGGCTATCTCATCTATTATTTTTTACTTTTCTCATGTTTGCATATTACCTACCTGTTCGATATTTAATTACGTTTCCCTAAGGTTGCCTTGAAAGGATTGCTTTAAGTAATAAGGCCGCTTTATTATAACTATACATGTTTCCTTAATATGTTTATGTTTTAATTACTGTATGTTAAAAATAAAGTATATTCCATCTATTATACCCGTGCATATTCCTTTATAAGCTGCGTTTTGATTGACGGCTGAGATAAGTTTACTATTTCGATGGAATAAGGAATAGTAAAAACAAAAACATGATTTATAATTCAAAAGAATCAAATAGTTAAGGAAGGTAACTCGTTATCTTAAACACAAAAAATAGTCTAATCGTGAACATTTTTTTTGAAAGCGATGCAAATTGGACAGAACAGTTAGAAGCCTCGTTTAACAAAACAGTGAGATTTCAATTTAACTGACTGAATAAGTGTAACTGACTGAGTTTTTAGTATTACAAAATCTGAAGGCATTCTTGTATAAAATCACTAAGTTAGCACAGTAAGACACTTGCTATTTTGTTGGTACAGCGCAATATTTCGCCAGACATATTTCACTAAACGAATGTTTCGTTTCTTCAAATATTCAGTTTCTGGGTACGGGTTATTTTTGGAAGTTATAAGGGGCTTTAGGGATATGCGAGTATCGTAACAAAATCGTATAGATACTTACCTTAGTAAGTTGAAATCTTTTCTCTTTACAACCGACTAGGAAAATCATGTCCTCGACTGCATTTTTGCGATTTTTTTTAAACGACTTCTTTTATACTACGGTGATGGTAATCAAGCATACGGCCTAGCGGATGCTAGATAATATTCCTGTATAAGGCACACAGCGCCATCTAGTCCCAAGCTAAGCAGGGCTTGTGTTATGGGTACTAGACAACTGATTAGATCTACTTAAATACACTTTTTGTTAATGCATACATACGTATATTATGTATGCATTTAGAAAAAAATGTGGTCACCCACCCAGAACACATTTTTTATAATATAAATATAAACAAACATTGTGCGAGGGATCGAACCCGCAACCATTGAAAATAAAGCGCTGTTCTAAATCGCTACATCACCAAGGCCCGTTAAGTCGTTCTCAGGTTATAGTGTAACCAAGGGAAATAGGCATTCATTTTGTAACTTATAGACAAACTAGCTTTTGCCCGCGACTTCGCTCGCGTTAATTTATCCCCTTAGGGGTGGAATTTATCAAAATCCTTTCTTAACGGATGCCTACGTCATAACATCTACCTGCATGCCAAATTTCAGCCCGATCCGTCCAGTGGTTTGGGCTGTGCGTTGATAGATCACTGTGTCAGTCACGTTTGAGTTATATATATTTAGATATGTAAGTATAATACATATATTTATATATATAGATGGAAATTGTGATAATGAAACGTAAACACAAACGTATATTACCACTTCATCTAACGACTATGCTCTGATTGTCAGCGTACTCACGATCATTCTAGATTCATTACCATCAAGTTAAAAAATATTCTTATTACTACCACCATAAAGTGTAGAATCCCATGCCGTAGCGTACTGTTTATTAGCATGTTTGCTTGTTTACATTATATATTCACACTGCAACAAATCGTGTGAGATTTCTGTATGTTTCGCCTTCATTATTGAAACCTATGAATTGAGATGATACCAAGTACCTACCATTGGATAATAGCGATCCAGCTAGACCAAGTTATTTCTTTAGTCGATTTCTATTACCTTAGTTGAGTTACCTGATTATTGGCAATATGTACGTTCATCTGTTCGTCTTATAAGTCCCAAATGTTTGTTAGTATTTAGAAAAATAGGGTACAGTTTCCTGTCTTTGAACAATCTGTACATCGTCTTCCAAAGCCGTAATAATAAAGAGGTTTTAGTTTGTCTCTCAGTTTGAAAAAATCTATTACAATAATAATGACGGCCTTAGAAGTTAGCGGTTTAGCACACCGCTTTACTTGATGATGGTTGCGGGTTCGATTCCTAGCACGGTAAAAAAAAATGTATTCACGATATGTTTCTTTGGATCCGTCTTGGTGTTGCTCTATGTATAATATGTATGTATTTATTAGTTATCTAGTACCCATAACACAACCTTTAGGTTGCTTAATTTGGCACTGTGTGAATTGTCTTGAGATTATTATTATTAACATGTATGTATTTTTTTTAAATGTATATCAGTTGTCTAATACTCATTACACAAGCTCTGCTTAGTATTGTACTGAAATAACTGAATTATTATTTATTGTACTGAAATTATTATGAATTGTAGTGAAATATTATTTATTGTATACGTACCTTCATGACTGTAATCCCAAATGAGGGTAATAATACGCATAATAAACAATCGATATCGTAGCAAACACATAATGTCAGAAATCCTTGGGTTACAAGGTCTGCTGATTATCTCTATTATTTAATCATCATTGTCCAATAATGCGGTCACTAATTTCCATGTACTCAGCAATACTTGTGATTTTCTAGTATTTTGTAGGTAGTAACAGTAGTAACAAAAATTCTGATGCTGCCGCGATCCGATATACACCTCTCGTTCATTGTCATCTTCTAAAATTCTCGTGTCAATTTCTTATTGTTTTTGTAGGCATTTACTTAAAATTTGGTAAATCCAATAATTTACTTAGATATTTATGGAATTACCCATACAGATTAAAAAAAACTTGTTTTCATTGAGGAAAAACTTTAGGTTTCCTTCTAATGATAGTAGAGTGCTGTTTTAGTGGCTACACAATTTGCATGCGATTTGTAGATACTAATTTTCGGATTGAGGTCGTATGTTTTGAACACTAGAACACTGAATAACTGCATAATAAGTAGTCTTGTAGCGAATTGTAAGTTTAAATATGCAAATAATATATTTAGTAAACCAATCACTAAAAAAAACCTTCTTGGAAAATTCAAAAACAATACTGCGCAGATGTAACATTTTGAGATCTGTATAATATTGTTGAGAGCCTGTCCAACCCATCCGATCGTTCCCTCTTCCAATTACGAACGGGATACAAACGGGGATCGAAATTATGACGGCCTGAGCCGAGGTTCAATCCCCTACAGTGCCCCAGACTAAAGTCTTTTCCGTCAGGCAGGAGATGGCATTCAGTCGCTCCATAAGTCCTTCCGCGGCTTTGGAGTACCATTTGCACTTGCCCATGGACTATAAGTTGTTGGTATTTGTTACAAACACCTCTGGACCAAACTTATTATATTTAAATAATTTATATTTAATTACAATGAGCAACGTTTGTTAAGCAAATCGTGAACAAAACCAGAAAGATAGAAAATCAATGGTGCCACCATGTGGCAATTGTGTATTACCATAGACTCTAAATATAAAATAATTATTTATTGCTAGCAACACTACCGCTTTTTAAGTAATAATTCGTAAATATATAAAAAGGTATGTTTCTGAGTGTTATTTGTTTAAGTAATAATACATTTGCTATTTTCTACCAATCGACTATAAGTAGTGCAAATAACAATAATAGGCGGTGCAAATATAATCATAAAGCAAATCTAGATATAAAACGTACGTAATTATCAGATAAAGGATAGCTGTATATCAATACAGGATTTACAAAGTATTTCCTTTCTTCTGATACAAAGTACAGACTTTGTATTAAAAACACGTTTGTATTACAACCTGTCTACTCTGAAGTCTAATCTCAATATCATTACATAGTATAAAACAAAGTCTCTGTCGCTGTCTGTCCATCCCTATGTGTGCTTAAATCTTTAAAACTACGGAACGGATTTTGAAGCTGTTTTTTTTCATTAGATAGAATGATTAGAGGCAGATTTATATATGTAATATATGTACATCCGGGCGAAGCCGGAGCCAGTAGTTAGTCTATTATATTATATATTTCTCGTGTCACAAGTTTCGTGTTTATACTCCTCCGAAACGGTTTCCGATTTTGATGAAATTTTATATGTATATTCAGTAGGTCTGAGAATGGGTTTATAATTAATCTTTATACTCCTAAGTAGCTAAGGGTCACTCCAATTTCTATTTTTTTCAACAAAATTTTTATATTTATTTTTTTATTATGTGGCATTAAAAAATACATACAACCTTAAATCAACACCCTTCTACCATCAACCCCTATTTTTAAAAGTGATTTTAATTTATATGACAAAACAACGTTTGCAGGGTCAGGTAATCTCAATATAGATTTCAATTAAAACCAATTGTATTTGTGTCTATTATTTTGTAACGTAATCAATAGGAAACCGAATAATTATAACAATATCAGTTAGCTGTTTCATTGACCACGAAACAGATTAGAAGTGTACGAAACGTCATCCAATGTCATTGTACCGGATTTAATTTCAAGATTGTTATTGAACAGGTAGATGACAACAGGGAAGTAGATCGCATCGTAGGCAGCTTTTAACGTAGTCACAAGTTACAGTAACTAATTCACATAACAAACGAACGTAAATGTTCCGACCTTGACATTATCCCATATTACCTCCCCAACAACAGGCAACAGTAATACAACTTTATTACAACTTGTAATGAATAACTTTGATTAATTAGTGAGGCTACGTTAGAGGTTCTTTGCTAAATGTTAAAATGCGTATAATTATAACATCATGTTTATATGTGTATATGTGGTTATATGTGTAATATTAAATTTAGGATACTTCCGCGTTTGTCCACGGAGAATATTTGCTATATTTTTAGCCATGTAAATAATAATAGTAATACCAGATGGTTATTCTGAAGCATTAGCAAATATATATCGACGGACTCGGTGGTTTAGCGGTTTGGCATACCGCTTTACTTCAAATGGTCGCAGGTTCAATTCCTCGTACGGTGCAATTATTTATATTTGTATGATTGTTTGTATCGGTCTGGATGTTTTCTACGTATATTATGTATGCATT